TTTTCCACAGACCAAAAATGACATTTGTTTTGCAGTCTGAGCTCCAGGATGTTGATAGGAGACCTTATGGATAGGGTGGGGGGGTTGAGTGCCTCCCCCACACACCAATTATAAGACCAGAAAGGGATTACACTACTTGAAAAGATGAAGATTTGGGGTTTTATAGAGGAAATCTAAAAATGTTAATTGTGTCTAAGCAAATACCCAAAACATAAAAACCTGCCTTGCCTTGAGATCCTTCTGAACAATAGCAGTGTGCGTCCTGTGCCTAGAGTCTCATACGGTAGCTGTATATCTGAAGTGACGACATCTAAGGCATGGTGCCTATGACTGATCGTTTTATGAGATTCGGCTACATCACGGCTGTGCTGCAGTCTCCTGCTGGAGAGGAAGCTGTACCTATGGTGCTGTAGTACAATCATCTCGCTGCCTCTGCTTCATTCAGTGGTTTTCTCTACCTTTCCTGCTGCTTATTTACCCAGTAGGCTTCAGTCTTTCCATAGAGAAAGGTTTGCCTCCACACATTACACAAAAAGTATGTGATATCCGTAATGGAGAAAAGATTTGCTCCAGGGAGCCTGAGGGTAAAACCTAGGGATGTCCCGATACCATTTTTTCAAGACCAATTACTTTCCCTCAGGTACTCACCGATGCCAATACTTTTTCTTAAAAGGGACATGACTTTTTTTCTAAAATACAGACTAATGATTTTAGTTTATAATTATGAAGAACTGTAACTCAATCTAAGATTATTCAGCAAATGGAGAACAGCAACAAGCAAAAGAGAACTAGAGATCCCATCAATCCATGATTATACAGCAAAGAATGGCGACCAGCTCTAGAGGACTACAAATCTCAGCAATTCATGATTATACCGCAATGGAGAATGACAACTGGCTATAAAGGACTACAAATCTCAGCAATCCACGGTTATAGAGCAATTATAACAGGGCTGCGTGCAGGTGCCAATCTCTGTGGGCAGGAGCCGAGCTCCAGGGCTGTCCTTTGCTGTGCCAGTCTCGGGAAGGAGCTGGAGGTGATGTGCGGCCTCTCTGGCACGGTCAAAGACAGCTACCGCGGGATACCCAGCAGGCTGCCTGAGGACCCCTGCAAAAGCGGGACTGCTCTGGTTTAAAAAATTTAAAGTGCCGGAATTGGCCTTTAGTATTGGGGAATTTTCACGAATTACAAGTACTCATGAAAATGCCCTGCATCAGCCCCGATACTAGTATCGGGACATCCATAATAAAACCTGGTCCTTTACCTCTGCTGGCTGCTTTTTGGGGCACAGTATACGTCCTCTTGCAATGTTATAAAATTGTCATAATTCTTTAATGTTTCGCACTATACACATTGTAATACCGTACTGAGAAACGTCAGAAATAACTCAAAAACACAATTTTTGTTTCATTTTTTTTTTTACCTAAAAGCGTCCATTTAAAATAAAAACAGATCTGCTTGAGTTATTTTCCCACTGGCGTAATTGACAAAGCATAGTAAAGTGAAGAAATGATTCGGAAGAAAAAAAAATCCAACTGATTTTGTATGCATTTAACATAAAATTACATACATGTATTTGTACATGCAATTTTTTTCATGACCTATTCTTCTCAAAAGCTCCAGTCTATGGAAAAAGATTGTGATTAGAGCAAGGTGTATATCGACATGACACATGAAAAATAAAAATAGTGCAACATAAGCTCATAGAGGGAAGAAACCCAAAAAAATCCTACAAAAAAAAGGAAATGAAAAAAAAAAGGGTGTGACAGATTATATTTTAGATTTCGATATCATTATTCCCTCCTTCCAACAACCATCAATAAAGCGGTTTCCACAAAGGCAGCGGTGAATTGTCTGACATTGTCCTGTCTGGGAAGAGACTATCACAGTGTTACTTCATCTTCCTCCGGTCCTGGGATTTGCAGGGAACGTAACAAAGCCAAACCGTTTGTCAGAAGACCTGGTAGACGGGCCGAACTAATAATTGGGTTTTCGCAGAGGAATGCCTGTGTAGCCCATAGGCGTTAGACGCCATCGCAACTCAAAAGCGATAGAAAGTCCTCAATTCGACACCATGGTTGGGGCGAGACTTCATAAACTTCTGACAAATGGAAAAAGATCTACAAAAACATGTTTGCTAGATATATTACACGGGGGAACACTTTCATCTACACGAACCCAAAGTTCTTGGTTTTTATAGCCAGTAATAACTTCTGTTTGAGAATCTGTTTGGAGGAGTAGAGAGGGACATACAGGCGAGAGATACAGGTGTTGGCGGTGGGGAGATGTTGGTCATCTGGCGGTCGTATGGTAATTGACGGCATGGGCTGAAATCCTTCTTCACTTGCGGGCAAAGATGGGCTTGACGTCCAAAAATATACCTATGTTAATAAAAATAGAAAAATTATTTGGGCACAATGTGAATTTTGTTCCCAACACACACACGCCTCTATATATCTATATCCATCTCTCTTCTATCCTCACAGATTAATGTCCTAAAAAAACAAAACCCTCATTTTGCAGGCAAAATATTTGTTTCTGGTCACCACAGGTCTGCTTTTGTACAGAAGTTGTCACTTCTATCTCCCAATAACACACTGCACATATAGGATGACTACATATAAAATAATTGTCCAAGGTGGAGATGTCTAAAGCCCCTTCCAGAAATCAGAAAAGAGATGTGGGGGGGTCATGGGAGGTGGGGAAGGGTGATAAGACAGATGGGAAAACCTTATCGGATTGAAATTGCTTTAGACTGATAGGTTGGCACTTGAAATTTCTGCCTTTCTTGGGTGTGCTCAGGTAGAGTGCCTGCAAGAGGTAAAACTGCTGACAAGAACGATCAGTAAAAGAACGCCTGCAAGTCAGACTAACCTATGATCTAAACTTGCTTCACCAATGGAAAGAAAAGGAGAGAGCAGGCATCTGATCTACTTTAGTATTTAAAATTGTGCACATGTGTTGCAGAATGTATTTGTAACCTACCAGCAGACATACACTGCTTCTGTATTTAGACATTCTGGACCATAAGACAGGTCACAGGAAGCACAGGTCAGCAGGAACAAACAAAACAGTATTTTTGTCATAACCATAAAATAAGAAACCATCAATAGGATATTGCTGGGCAAATCATATTGTGGAGAACATTTCTCAGAGTGCTCCCAGTCACCATACAACACAGGCTGTAACAGCAAGTGAACCTTAACATTTTTGGCAGGTTTAGGAATTATCCAAGACCTCAGAGTAGTAAACTTTGGAAGGGTTAATGCAGATGGCTAAATGGTGTACACTGCGTCAAGTGTCAATACAGGTCCTCTTCCTGAAAGAAATCCTCAGAACCAGATGCCAACCTCAGCCTCCTCAGGTACAATAAAGCACATGCAGAGGAATCTCTGAGGTGGTCTGAGGGAACAGGAGAGGGGGGGGCCCCCACTTGTGGAACCTGCAGTCTGAAAAAGCTTGGTCATTCTCACCCCATAAATCAGCTGTAAACTCCTATCTAGACAGCAAGTCATAGGTGTGTATTCTAGAGGGTGCAGGAGGCCCCTGATGCTAACAGTGAAGGGGACAGGTAGCAAAGCATGGTACTAGCAGAGATGGTGTCCCTAGAAGAGGTAGGGCCCTTGCCAGAACGGTTATCTGGTTGAGTAGCCCCTGCGCCCCCCTCATTGGTACCCGCACATCTAAGGTCTGCTATATGCATCTCCAGCAAAACTCATGACAGGAGGTGAGAGGTGTGCAAACACCAACAGGTGGAGGAGACCCAGGCTTCAGTGGTGCAGTAGTTTACTTCTCTGCACAGTGTTGCAGCAAGAAGCATGTCCAGCTGGAGCATGTGCTAGAGAGACAATATGGGGGGGCACATGAGCAGTAGAATACCCAGGGGGGAGGCTGGTTTTGGCTGGACGTGATCTGCTGCCCCTAGGTCTCGAGGGAGGAAACTTAAGCACCAGATCCAAAATAAAAGACTGAACCAGTCATTCTCTACCTCATGTGTATTAATGTGCTATAGCTGATGAGCGCATAGTAAAAGGTGCCTATACACCTCACAATTATCTGGAGATTTTTGTCTGTGATTGCAATTTCCTCAGAAAATCTGCCAGTTGATGGGGAGTGTACAACCTCAATTACTGTACAACTGGCAGATTTTTGTCTTTCAAGCAGGCAAGAAAACTTTTGTCTAATTGGATGAAAAATTGACAGATTAGTGGCGTTGTACAACACAAATCTCAAGATGCAAACTGCACATGCTCAAACGAAAATCTATCCTTTTGATCGATGAAAATCAGCCAGGTGGTGGTGCTGCCGAGCGTTAATTGGTCTGTGTATGATGGGCTAGTTGTAAGAAAATTGAATGAGGGTGAGATGTCTGGACAACAAAAGTTGTACAATGGTTGAAAGGAGAATGGCCACCTTTAGACAACCACGCAAACTTTCCAATAGCTACAACATAGTTAACAATTGCAGGGCTGTGATGATGCACTCGAAGCACTAACATATTACAGCATATAAAAGAACCAATCAGAAGATTGTGGTTTATGTAAATGTTCTAAATATACTATGTACAGGTAAAATGTATCTCATAAAAATTAATATAGAAAAAGCTACAAAAATATATTAGCAATACAACACAATGATAATGTAATGAGCACTTACTAAATCTTGCCGCTCAGCCATGCTCATCTTTTCAACAATGGACCAGAACCAGCGCTTGAACTGCAAAAGCTTTTCTGCATTTTCTCCTGAAAACAAACAATCATACAAATGTCTTATTCCTTAGCAAACGTTTACAAAATAAAAAGCTTTATGCAACAGGTTTTTTTGTTGATGCATTCCACTGATTGAAAAAAAAAACAATTATATATCTCCCAAACTAGAACATTTTCATTTATAAAATTATGAACGGATTTTGGATGTGCTGCAAATGCCAGATTTCATCAGCAACAGGTTCCTCTAACTGTGCTCGTTTCTCCAGGTTTTACAAAGGCCTTGCGAGCAGGATTTGCAGTTTTCCTATAAACCCCACACAATGCATATTTCAGGCTTTATGAATAAACTTTAAAGTGTATGTGAAGCCAAACGTCTTTATCCGGTAGGGGACAGAGTAGCGAAGAGTTATTTTTAGCTTGGTAGGGGAATGTTAATTCACTTCCTAAGCCTGGTGACAACAGAAAGTGATAGGAATTACAGTCTAAAGGTGGCCACAGACCTTACAACCATTGCAAGACTTTTGTCTTGCGATGGTTGTAAGGTAATTCAAAAAAACGTACGATCTGCCCATCTTGGACAGGCAGAATGTACTTGCGATCATCGCAAGCCTGCCCCGCTGAGGGGCGGTCTTCCGATGACCGCAATGCTGTACAGGCAGTGTGCGCTTGCGCACACCGGCACGTGCGGCATTTATCTTCCGAACATACCACAAACCCGCCGACAATCGTACGATTCTCAGCGGGTTTTCGAACATGTTCCTAAGATAAAAGGTCGTGCGACCGTACAGTAGAAACGGTTGCACACCTTTCACACACCTTGCGATAATCGTACGATTGATTTCCTGCGATTATCGCAAGGTGTGTGGGCACCTTTAGGCAGTTGCCACCAAAACTGGGGTCCCTATTGGAAGATTTTGCCTAATCTCATGTTTTGGTGACAGTTTTAAAATGTTGTATTTCTGATCACTTTCTTTCCCTGAACAAAGAGATGGTGCATCTATTTAGTGGGACAGAACACAATGAAAACTTGATAGGGGTTCTAGTGTGTATATTATATAGAAGTTTTGCTATTCATGTACTTTAAGTTAAGAAAAAAAAAAAAGTTTTAAAAAACATGCGTATCAGTTTTCTTCAAACAGTAGCTTCTAGGCGCCTACGGTTTCGCCTACCCTGATTTAAAATTAGTTTCTTTGCAGCTTTTTTAATACCTAAAGAATGGTCATCACCGTTATGTATGATTAACAGGTGCATTGCAAAGTGACGTTGGCTTAAAAAACATAAAAAACGAATGCAAGACTACTAGTGCGTGCAACGTAAGCCATTCACATATAGCGTTGGCGTTTCCCGCATGGTTCTCCGTGTGGAAGACAGCGCGGCACAAAAACACTAAAATCTTTACAACTGCACTCGATTGCGGCTATTACTATAGCAGTGAATGTGCGGAATCCACCCCTGAAATCGCGCTTGGACTATTTTGCGGGATACATGGACAACCGCTTCTGTGTGAATGGAGCATAAAGAGCTTTTGACATCATAGCATGTGATTTGATGGGGAATCAAAATGACTGCTTTGCAATATGAGATTTCAGGAGGTAGGTGGGTGCACTAGAACTCAGGTCAATGATTGTATACAGTGTACTCCTGGGTTCAGGGGATACTAGAGAACAGAAAGTTTTCCTGACAACTAAAAAGGTATACACACTCGGGCACCTATTTTTGCTGCTTTTTAGTGGGTTGCATCATCGTGGGTCTTATACCTCATCAAGTCATTTACACGTTATCATGCCATGTTCACGTGAATGCACGGTATGTACTTTGAGCCTTAAAAGGAGAACTATGGGGTTAAGTCTTTTCCCCATAGTTCTCCTTAGGGTAACGGGAGGACACAAACTAGCGTCCTCCCGTCACCCTAGGCTCAGTATACCGCGAGCTGTAGCTCACGGTATACCGAGACGCCGCAGCTGAAGTGGATCCCGACAATTGTGCCGGGATCCGCCCAGCTGCGGGACTGACAGCTGGCTCTGCCTATCTAAAGGCAGAGCCAGCTGTACCCGCCCCCTCCCCCGTCCGGCCAGTCAGCGCTGGCGGATCGGAGCGGGGAGAATCCAGCCCCTCCCGTCACGGCAGAGAGCCGTGACAGGATCGAGAGGTGAGCGAACGCCGGTATCTGTTCGCTCACCTCCCGATCTACTGAGCCGACCTGTGACAGTCTCATTGTCACAGGTCGGCTAGAACTATGAGGTGAGTGGAAATCACTCCTCATAGTTCTCCTTTAAGTTTTTCACTGTATGATTCTCTTAGGCAGCACTACATATAGAATTTCTTACCCGATTCATCATTGAAAGATGTGAAACTGATCAGCATTTGAACATTAACTTCACCGCAGCCGTTCACCAGGAGTCGGAAATCTTCTGCTGTTAAATCTTCTAGTGCACTCTTTGGAATTACATCTAGCAGTCCTTTCCTCATGGCCTAAAACATACAAAATGACAATTAAGGTAATTGAAAGCACAAAATCTATGGCACCTATGGCAAGCTTTATTCAGGGCAACCAGCTTTCATGCTTTTTTTCATGTGACTGCATTAAAAAGGGAGACACACAAGGTAATACCACTGCTCCATCCAACACTGAGGCTCCAATCCCTGGGCAGGTGCGGACGCAGGCTAGGGAGCTGTCCATGCTCAAACACAGAAGAACGATGGAGATGGTCAGCCTTGTAAATTAATCAGTGAATGTCTGTTGGACTGCGGTGTGCGGCTCTTCTTCATTAAAGCAATCTGTACTCAATGATTAAATAAGGCACACGTTTTAGGCTGGCTTCACAGCTTTGTGTTGGAGTAAAGCACAATACAACATGCAATGCATGTTAAAAGGCCAGAACTTTGTGCAGAGCATTACGGTGCAACACAGACAAACTTGTTGCGATGCCTTGGCTGCCCAATCAAAATAAAAGGGCTGCCTTAATGTAATGGAAGTTAATGCATGGGAAGTAATGAACAGCAAAGTAGTAAAATAGTGTAATGGGGTCCTTAGACTTGAAGGGCAGCTGTACATACATTATGTAAATGCATATGGGGCAAGCATATATTAGGACTGATGTGTAAAAAAAAAATACATAAAGCTTTCATATCATGTCCTGCATGAAATACTACTGATGGTCCTATTACTCTGACTGCACCTAGAGAAGTACATTTGTTATCGCTTTGAAATGGCTGCCACTAGTTTCAGCTGAGCTGACTGGTTGTAGATGGCATCCCCTGCCTAGCTAGTATAATTCTGATCTCATCTTCTGTCATTGACTATGCAGAGTTCTACAACTATGAAATGATAACGTGATTATATGGTATTACACAGTACAAGAGATTGCTCCTAGCAAGAGAAAAACTGCCCAAATATTCTTATTAAAGCAAACTTACATGTAGAGGCTGTTCTGCTACTACCAGCATCCTATGTTCAGCATATTTTCTTACATATTCATAAACATTCTGAGGCGTTACGGGGATATTTACACCATTGGCAATGAGCTCCACCTGAAAATAAGGAAACGCCATCTTTAGTCGTAGGTAATCTCAATCAGCATACACAATCACAGACATATTAAAGTGCACCTGTTGTCTTAGACAATGATTTAGAAAACGCAAAAGGAAAAGTAGGTATTGCAACCCATGGAACATTTTATTGTTTAGGGTTTAAGATTTTGAAGGATGGAGATTAATCTATTAGCACGACATTCTAAATTTAAAGTAAGCACCATAAGGGGCCCATTATTACCTTGAACCCCCTCCTTCGAAGTCCATTCTGCAGCCTCACCAATCCCACTATCCAATGAGAGCTTTGCTACTGGCTGCGAAGGTCTCTCAATGGATAATGAGAAGACCATTGAAGGGAAAGACTAAGTCTGAAATGTCAATCCTAACAAAAAGCAGCTTTAAAAAAAAACAAAAAAGACACCTGGTGATCCCTGCTAAAAGGCAGGCACTTCATTTTACAACCAGTAGAAAGGCAGATCGGTTCACTTTATGTTTCTGCAGACAGTAGAGCTTCATTAAAGTCCAAACCTTTGCGAAAGAACTATGGCCCAACCTTTTTTGGAGTTTGTTCTCTTTAGGGTCACAGGAGGACATTTACTAAGGTCCTCCTGTGACCCAAAACTCTGCATATAGCAGGCTATTGCCCGCTATACACTTTCAGTGCATACCCACACTGCAGCCAGGAAGGATCCTGGCAATATTTTCAGGATCCACCCCACTACCTGATTGGCAGCTGGCTCTACCTCTCTAGAGGTAGAGCCAGCTGTGCCAGCCCCTTCCCTGTCTATCCTTCCAGTCAGAGAACCCCTGTGAATGACCGCCACCACTCTCTGCAGGAGAAGATCGTGAACTGAATGATCAGCAGTTTGTGATCGCTAATTTCTTAAGCTTTAGAGCCAGCGTGTGAGTGCTACAGTGTCCCACTCCAGCTCTAACGATGGGGATGAGTGCATTTCGCTCTACCCACCCAATCAGAATAGCTGCTGTTAGGTGCCGCAGTGGCTGTCTAGTCCAGATCAGAAAAAAAACTGGGTGTACTTCTGTCAGGAGCAGAGAGAAGGCCTCCATCACCCAAGGACACTAGCAAAAAAAGTAGCAGCATAACCCATCTATTCACTATTCCTGTTATGCATGATCAAGAAATTATGCTTTGAACTTGTCATGTTAAGAAAAATTCTTTCAGATGAGTCCGCTATTTCAGGAAGATACGATACAAATAGTCTTTAGTGTAAAGCCAGCGTCATTTATGGCACAGGAAAAATCAAAGTTATGGGGCTTCATAGGGTTCCTTCCTCAAGGCAACATAGTGACAAATATGGACTTTATTGAAGCTCTACCATCAGTCAGCATCTAAGGGACATCAAACATTTTCCGCTTCATAATTTTTCCATGTTAGCCAACAGCATAGAGGGACACACGACCAAAAAAGGCCTTATATGTAACTCATTCAACATACACAAAGACCTTTCTCACTGGAAGAGCAAAGTACAGCATCTACGGCCTCTGCAAACCATAAAAAAAAACCAATAATAATTTCATGGAAAACGTGTCATCGCAGAGGAAAAAATTATTTGCCATTACACAACACAGTTTAAATAGTCAACATGCATAAATATGATTGTCCTTACCTGTCCACCACACTCTTCCTTGCACAGGTCTATAGCGAATGCCAAGTCCATTGATGCAAATACAGCATCTGCATCTGGACCTTGTGAGGCGAGGATGAGCTGTCGAAGACTTTCATACATCACATGATCAAAAAATGCAAAATCGTGCCAGTTCACCTTCACAATGAAGAAAAAAAAAAAAAAAAGGCAAAATATTACCAATTTCTTAATATAATTAAACAGCATACAAAATTGAATGAACACAGCAAATGTTTTTAACATCTTAAAAAAAAAAAAAAAGTGCTTTTTCCTCACACACACAGGACCCTATTGCTGGCAAGCTGCTGCTAGGGACAGAAATGCTGTTGTGACATGGCCACAAACACTACAATCGGCTTTACTTTTGAAGGTACTGTACTAAGTGGTGATGGAAATATGTCGGCAAGATATTTAGGATGTATGCTTATATATTAAAAAAAATTATTTTGGCTGATGTTCTTTAACAACTTCAGTCTTATGTAACCCTACTGTTTTCAGGGTGTTAATTGTACACAACGGAACAGCTGTAGGGAATTTGGTCAATATAAACATGTTCAGTTGACATCAAAGAGGTAAATTAGACCCGCCAATCAGAAATGGTTTCAGTATTTGTGAATGGCACTAAACTGTATATGAATTAAAGTGTCTTGGTGGGAATCATATATAGATGGGAAATATATGCTGGGTGGATAGTGTGTGTCCTTATGGAGCCTATGTCATCTGAGTTCTAGATATTTTATTATTACTCTGTTGGACTATTCCCGTTCATCTGTTTCTGGATCCAAGAAATGCTACACTCTGGAAAATAACCGAGGTTGCCTGGATGTTTCCTAAAAATTACATTTTCGCAACGCACACAAATATTATATTTCATACATTCCCCTTTATCACTACACCTATTTGCAGGGGAGAAAAAAAAAAGTAATCTTGCAGTGGGGCTATTTCCGCATTGCAAGGGTTACCGGCTTGTTTTTGTCTAGGGCTATTGTGTAAATGACTTACTACCTAGTCTCCACAGGCCCCAAAACCAGCAGCAGCAGCCCAGAGCCCTGTAATAAATATGAGGATGCCAAGGAACAACTCGCATACCAGAGCGTAGGGAAGAGAGGCGAGTAAGTATCAGGTAAGTAAAAGTCCTTTACCCCTAGACGGTACCCATGAACGAGCAGAGCAGTTAACCATTGCAGTGCAGAAGTAAACTACAGCAAGAGTAGACCTCAGAAAACGTGTGAACAGACGACCAGTTGGCAGCCAAGCAAATTGGAGAAACAGTTGCTTGAGGCTGAAAAGCCCAAGAAGCACTTAGGATCTAGTAGGGTGTACCTTAAGCCACCTAGAGTGTGCAAAGAGAAGCTGATGCACCCTACAGGGACCTTCTGGAATTCCAAAATGTGAATCAGTCTTCTGAAAGAAGCAGTAAGATGCAGTACAAACCACATACTTACCATGGAGGTGAATTCCTTTTTGGTGAATTGGAGCTAGACAGCAGGACTGAAAAACAATGTCCTGGTTGAGTTGAAATGCAGAAAACTGCCGTGAGCAAGAGGAAGTCCTGGGCCTCGACACCATCTTGTCCCTATGCAAAACAAGGAAGGGTTCCTTGCAGAATAAAGCTGCCCGTTCAGACACTTGCCTTGCAGAAATAATGGCTCCAAAGATTAACAACCCTTGTGGGTGAAAGAGAGGAATGTCTGTGTACAAATGGTGGCTTTTGTAGTGCAGAGAGAAACGCATTCAGATCCCACCGAGTCAACAAGAGAAACAGGTGGCGCTACAAGGGAGTCTGTACAAAAAACAGTCTAAATCAAGGAATAAACTTGACTACTGTGCTGAGCACCAAATGCTGGTTCAAGGCTCAAACCAAGTGAAGTATATCTTCCATCCTTGCATGTCAGATGAGACCGTGCAGGAAGTAGCCCTTCTAGCTTTTTGAATATAAAGGGCACAGGTCTAGTGGTATTCACTTACAATTAAGTATTCGGACTCTTGTCACAATGTCATCAGGGTAGCAACTTCAGCGGTGAAATTTAGCAGTGGGCAGAAGTGGCAGCCGACATGCAGGATTCTACATGCCGGGACCCACTCAGGTGACAAGTGGCTTCTACAGTGGAACACATGGTCATGGATATGGAATGACTGTTAGCTGTACAGCTGATTAACATGTAACTTTTGGGTTGGGTACTGTGAATAGGTTAGAGTAGAATCCTTGAAACAATGATGCATTAGTCCAGAAGACCAGAGAGGACTCCATGGACATCTGCTAGTCTGTGGTGAAACAGGAAGGCAGGACATAAAAAACCGAGGAGGGGGCAGAGGGTGAAACTCCGGTTTCCAGCCCTGGGACACCACCTCCGGAACTCAAGATTCAAGTTGTACAAGCACAAAAGGTTGACAAATGCAGCAAAAGTGGGGACACGCCTTCTTACAGAGGAAGGCTCGTCTAATCCTTTGGCAGCCAATGTGCCAGACCTTGGAGGACTGGGAACCAGGCTTGGAGGGTCTCACCGAAGACTCCAAGAGAGTGGAGAACAAAAAGAGGGAGAGGACATTGCAGTCTTCACCTTAGGTTTCTTCTTTGGGAGAGATGGGTGCTCTTGCCACCAGTAGAGTCCTTGATAATAGTATTAAGAGTCGATCTGAGAGGGCAAAATGGGGAATTTAAAAAAAGTACCCAGCAACCTACATAATGAGGTAGCTTTTGGTGCTCAGTCCAGAGCAGGAAAGCTCTCCTCACAGAACCCAGTGCCTCAAGTTAATTTCCAGGCTATCCCATTAATATCCAGTCCAGCAGGCTGAGGACAGCAGTGCTGGATAGCTGCAGTCAGAGATGAGCTCTAGCAGCAATATAGTGAACAGTCTTCATTAAAAGGGGAAAAAAAATCAAAAAAGAGTAAGAACAAAAAGGGCCACCAAAAATAGGTTATACCGTAACACAGCAAAATGAAGGAAAAAAAACACCCATTCTCCGTGGACACTAGAAAACAACTGGGATGTTGGTAGTAGAAGGGTTTATCCTGGAATAACCTACAGTTTTAACTCGAAGGTTAAAGACTTCCTTACCTTGTTCAGGCGCGAAACCGGCGGATCCACCGCGGGGGGAGTAGACCACTTGGACAGGAAGGACTCCTCAAAAGGATAACGAACCGAGAAGCGTTTGGGGACGGAAAACGACTTGCTCGGGCGCTTCCACTCCTTGTAGACAAAGTCATCAAAAAAAGGGAAAACGTAAGGGAAAACCTTAGTGGAACGCCTACTCTTGTGCGTCCCAAAAGGAACCGGCGGGAGCGCCGAACAGCTCGGAGTCTCCTCAATTTTAAGCTTTTCCCGCACAGCGCGAACCAAGGCCGTGACCAATTCGCGTTCCTGTACCATAAGGGCAGTCCATGACTCTTCGTCACTAGCAGACTCCGCCTGGGAGGAATCGCCCAGGTCGGGCTGCGCGGCCGCCGCCGAAATTTCCCCCTCTTCCCCAGAAAGGACCGGGGAGGGGGCCGGCAAAGCTTGCTTCCGTGGAGGGTGCTGCGTCAGCGCGCGCTCCATACGGGACACAAAACCGTCCATAGTGGAGGAAAAAGCCTCCAAAGACAACATAGCGCCGGTGGACCCCCCACCCAAAGACCCCACAGGCACCAAGGGAGACTGGGAAAGGGGCGCAGAAGTACAGGCTGCGCAAAGGGGAGACGTGGGAGATGTCCCTGAAGAGAGGCCGCAGCCCTCACAGGGCACTGCGGACAGACCGTCCCCCACAGTTCATGTCCCCGGCAATATAGCTGCTAAACTAGGGGATTATTCTACCGGGCCTGCGCTTTCAGAAAATATATGGTTTGGGGGGTCTTTTACAAACGCTAGCAACGCAGCAGTTGAAAATCAAATCAATAGGAAAAAATTGCAGAAAATTCAAAAATGGCTTGGCCAGCTGATTTGAAAAATGTTCGAGGGCTTGGCAGCGAAAGGGTTAATGGACGAAATAAATAAAGTAGATTAGTAAACATGTTTCCAAACGTTGTGGACAGGGTGCTCAAGTATAAATTTGGGAGTAAGGGGGTTCTATTTTCCACATGAAGATTGGCTAGAACTTCACATTTTCTTTAGAAAAGGAGTCCTGTGCCAATTCATTATCAACAACTTTATGACAAGATTTATGGCACCTGAATATTTCACAAGACTTACTTTTCTGCCCAGGAGAACTTTTATAACCTGTCGACTTAACGTGATTGGACATAGTTCATTCTGCAACAGACACAGGCCAAGGATCCTGAAACAAAGATGGATATGCTACATCATATCTTCACAGAACACATTATTTATTAAGATTACCCCTAATCATCAACACTTACCTTCCAATATTCCGGAAACAGTTTAACCGTGCCTCTGTATTTTTGCCTGGCCTGGGACTATAGAATCCTCGTTTACCAGGCTGATAAAATAAAGGAGCATTATCATCACCATCGTCCGTATCAGTTAGCTCCATATCAACCACACTACGGCTGGATCCATGGCGTTTACGGTTTTCCTGCAACAATGAATTGCATACAAGTTACAGAACTAGTCCAAACTAGCAAAGTCAAGCAAAGCATGGCATAGCACATAATGGTGGTACTGAAAAATCAGGTAAAATATCAATGACAGACCAACCAAATGACAGACCAACCAAATGACAGACCAACCAAATGACAGACCAACCAAATGACAGACCATCTAACCTCAATTGTTTAACCCCCAGTTGTAAGTTGTATTATGGTAATACCAACTAGAGTGAAATTTCCAGTATGAAAGGGAAGGGGGGAACACACACAGCATAAAGCCATGCCACTACTTTCGAGAGCAGACCTTGTTGCTTCAATACTTAAAATCACTAACCTGAAATGAGTATGTAGTTGGGGTTGCCGACTTTTTTAATCTGCAAACTTGCAGGTCAGTTGACTTAAAAGTATTGAAGGAAGAGGAATCACCAGCACTCAGTAGACGTCACACGATCACAAGAGCCAACGTTGAGACCACGCAGGGTCTCTTTATCAGGGCATAAAGAGTGTCTCGAAACGTTGGCTCTTGTGATCGTGTGACGTCTATATCCAATAAATGGACATGTTGTATTATTCTACTGAGTGCTGGTGATTCCTTTTCCTATATTGTGTCTGCACGGTGCCATCCGTGTTCATCACTACAAGCACCATTGTCTACATAGGCCTTGATTGCTGCAAGGTGTGCAGAGGATTTGCCCTTCTATCCAATTAATAGTATTGAAGTCAATGGTTTAGTAATTTCAGAAGCAGCCTCCATAATTTGCAGGTTGGCCTTAAGACATTTCTGAGCTAACCGCACTGAAGTGCAGAAACCTCATGATACCTTCAAGTACCTGTATCAATCTTTAAAATCAACCTTTGGTGTTTTCCTAGAACCCAGGCTAGACTGTACATAGGCGACGGGCTTACTTTTGACTCCATTGAAAGTGGAAACCCTACTAGTACCAAGTTCCACCTCTTGCATTCAAATTGACCAATACCAGAACTTCTGTGATCAAAAGAGGGCTGGGCATCTGACAGTTGAATTACTTTGGTTGGCTTTTCATACAGAGGGGGTAGGGTTTAGTATCAACTTCAATCGAAACGTAAGGACCTGTGTACAGCATGGGTCTAGAAGGGAGCTCCATAAGGATTGATTTGCAGTTTCTGCCCTTCAACACAGTTTCTGCCCTACAATCGTTTTAGTCTCTCTCTCCCCCACCCTCTGTTTGTTGAATCACTACTTATAACCTTGTAGAAAGAGGTATCCATATTCGGCGTTCGTAACGAGGCAACTTTTGACAGTTAAACCACAGTGGGCAATCCTCAACATTAGAAATGGCAGAAATAAATGCAAGATTAAAACATCTACAGGAACAATGGCTCACCTGCACTTTTTCAGAAGAATCTAGCAGGCCAAGATCAAGAATACTGTCGGCTCCATTTTCCCTAGAGAAAAAAAAGATCTGATTACATTGTGTGTTATCTATTATATCCCACGCTAGTGATTTTTCTATTCTAAGCCGCTTGCACACAATAGAACAAAAATGCTTTCCATGCAAAACCAAAATTAACCGTGTGCCACCCTGTTCTAAATGAATCCTGCATTAAATTGTCAGAGCACAAATAAGGATGGAGTGAGGGACACACACACACATTTTTAAAACGCTGTCTGAAGAACCTTTCTGCCTAAACTAGCATCAGAAGAGGCAGAAACATCAACTTAAAACTTTGCAAAGGTGTGAACAAAAGATCAAGTTGGGGGCCTTACAAATTTGAGTAACAGAAACCTCATTTTGAAAAGCCTAGGAAGTACTTACTGCCCTAGTAGAATGAGCAGACACAGGAACCTTATCCTGCAACTCATAAGCTTGAATGACAACCCGACAAAACCACCCCTTTACACCCTGTTACACACACCCCCCCCAACCAGGTGCGGAAAAACAAAATGGATCAGAGATCCGTTTCGCCAGACCTGATCATGTCGGTTTGGGTGTAATCTAAAGTAAGCCTTCCGATTCCCCTTAGGCTGACATGGGGTGCAGCAGTTTCAGTTCTTTCCTATGTGTGCCAGTTTATGTTATCAAGAGTTACCTTCCATGTGCGATAATTAATTCCATAGCTTCATCCACCCGGGCTCTCAGAGAATCTTCGCTGGCCAGCAGCAGTAGCAGTTGGGCTGGAGACAGTTCTAGCAGCATACCAGTAATTTTACTTGCAAATGCCTAAAAAGAAATAGTTATCAGTTTTGTGTGCCACAAAGTTTCATAAAGCTTAAACACATTGACTTGCTGTCCCTTACAGGTTGCATGGCTTGTACACGTGGATATAGCCTCTCCCCAAGAGCCTGTCTGTGAGCAGGAAGAGGGTCTGGATCATCACTGGGATTCCCTTCCGAGGCAGGTCTAAATGGCCTCGTGTCAATCGACAACTGTCTCCTGAAATCCCTAAAATGAAAACATACCACATGATGATTAGGTCCAATGAAAGCTACACTATGTTGTGCCTGGAAAATATAAAAACAGATGGAACAAACCTGTCCCGGTCTCTCCGAGAACCAGCTCGCAAACCACTGCTTCGACGCATGTCCCGTTCTCTTTCCCGGTCACGCTCCCCTCGATTTCTTAGTCTCTGCATCAAACCTTGAACACCAAAAAACACAAATTTTCATTTGTTTTGTGAGCACACAAATGGGATTTAGGCCGAAGATTGTGGTGCTTTTTTCCCCCCTTGAAGTGGCGTCGATACACGATTATGGTAAGGTTATAATCTTTATATCAGCCTGTTCGTTATATCACTCTGTATTAGATCATTACGACCATTATATATGACATTTTGTACTATTCTAAACAGAAAACAAAAATATGAATATGGGCGCTAGGGTTGCATAAAGCAGTCATATTGTTTCTTTAAAACAAGTTATAATAATGTTAGTATAAAATCCCTGAAATGTACTGCCTTTGAAACAGGGACTATGACCCCCCTGTCCTCAGCAAATGTAATAACCAGAATCAAGGAGGCGGCAGAGAGAAAAACTCCAGTTTTTAGCTTTGTTCAAGACACACTGAACCCCAAGCGTCAGTAATGGCCAGAGAGCTTAGAAGGCTGACAGATGTCCTCCCCACTTGTAAAAGTAGGGGTGCCCCTTCATTGGAAACAGGGCTTGTTTCTGGACTTTGTGGGTATGGGGGACCAGGCTTTATGATGGAACCTTTGTGCCCTGACTGGGTTTGGTACCGGATACCTGGAAAGGAAGAAGGGAACCGATGTTGCTACCACTGGCTTTGACGGCTTCTGGAGGTAAGAAGTTACTTTGCCATCAATGCAATAACGCAAGGCTACAGGAAATTCTAATTGGTTTAAGAACTTCTGGGTCTGCCGAGATAGATTCAGAATGTCTAGCTATAGCTTCTAACCTCTTGTCCATGGGGTCCTTAAACCAGAGACATCCCCTACAGGAACTGCACAGGCCTTGTTTAAACAAGAGATGGCAAGGTCCACTACAGGTACACCCCAACTCTCAAGGAAACCATCCTCAATAGTATATTGCTGGGCAAACCATTGGAACAGAGGAGTACAGGGAAAGATTTGCAGGTTCTGAAATTTTCAAAGACCCCCCAACTAGTGTCCTTTGGAAGGGTTGCTCATAAATATCAGCAATAACAGCAGTAAACTCCTTTCTAGACAAAAAACCCAAAAGGAAGGTTCTCTAGAGGGTACAGGAAAGGACCCTAATGCAAGAAGGGTAAAAAGGCAAAACATGGGACTGGCATGGATAATGTCCCCTGAGGGAGTAGAGCCCTCACCAAAACCACTGTCCAGTTGTGTGGTACCTGCAGGGTCCAGGCACCTCCAGGTCAACAATCCTTCATGTGCTCCTCCAAAAACTCACAAGCTGTGGGTGAGGAGAGTGCCCTGTATCTGGTGGTGCAGCGTATTCCCTTGCTGTGCCAAGTCGCACCAGCAGGTGTTCAAGCACAGCACTAGCCAGAAAGAAAATGGTGGGCCCATTGCGCAACCCAGTGGTTAAAGAATTTAACTCCCTATGTCCTGCGATATAAGATCAAGAAAAGCAATACTCACTTTACCCTTGCAGGCTCCTCTTTCCATGCAACTGACTCCCCAAACCCTCTTCTCTACTGTACTCCAACTGGTGGACACAGCTGTGGCTAGCAGTACTGCAATGTAAGCGAGAATGCCGGGGGCCACCCACAAGCCGGAGCGTTGAATGCCAGGGGAGCAAGGGATAAGGTAACTAAAAGTTCTTTTTACTGGCACCTCAAGATAAAGCATTTAACCCTTGCAGTGCAGCAGGAGACCCATTGCAAGGTAGTTTTTTCACATTATTGGAGATAAATATTAAATGGTCAATCATTTACTTGGGTCAAATAGAATCCAATGTACTCAAATTGTTAGTCTTTCAGTTTTCCATAGTTGTACTGGTATTGAATAAAGTTTACATTCTATAAGAGGCTTACTTGTATGTGTTCCTTTGTTGGTGTTCTGGATGCAGTCTAGACTTGGCAGCTTTTCATTTGACAGAAATGCTTGAGCAATAGCAGTGTAGAAGCTTCGGGCTACTCCGCTGCCCTCCCCTGGCTCATCTTTAAAAGTGACCTTTACTCTGTGCACAGCCATTGGTGTTGTGGCACATCTGCGGCCAAAATGGTTGTTCAACTGTCTCATCGTCTGCTGAATAAGGAGGTCTCGATCCCTGTCGACCTAAAAGACACAAGCAAAAAAAAAAAAAAAAAAAAGCTAAAACAAATGTCTGTATTTTATTAAAATTATGATTGTGCAATTATATTTCTGCTATATTTCATTAAACGAGAGATAAGCGGAATATATAGACAGAAACCCACTGGTATTGCAACAACAATGTATATTATAACTTACAATGCATCTTCTCTTTAACCTAAATCCAGCTTCACAGTGTAAACAATTTTAAATTCCCTAAGTCTTAACACAACATGCAGCGTTCCCAGAAATATTCAACTTTCAGCCATGCGCAAAGTCAGCCGAATCCAATTACTGTGAGGTTGGAATAAGCTCAGCCTTACTGAACCTTCAAGGCATAGTTCACCTTTTGCAAGAATGTACATAAAAAAAATAAAAGAAGAAGTGCAGTCCCTTTTTTTAAATTGAGCCTGCAAAGCATTGCGACCACAATCAGTGCACTGAGGGTGCAATGCACACACCCCTGCAATCTCCCCCGAGCTTTAGCATCGCATGAAGCTTTTATTGGGAGGCTGGAGGAAGTAATCAATAGACTACAAATGCTGCGGATCTACCAGTCCCTCTGCCGCAATGGAGTGAAGAGAAGTTAGGGAATTTGATCTTGTTACATCCTTAATATGGGTGTAAAATGAAAAATGGTCACAAAGATGAAGTATTAATTTAAGTCACAGCACAGGCAGTCATGTTTCCAGCCCCACTTGTCCTCTACACTAGAGAAGGCGTAGCCATCAGTCAATCTTCCAGCACATACATGTCACTATGCATCATCTGGACATCACTGGATGGACGGCTAGGAAGATGCTGGAGGTCACACAAGCGCTGCTTGGATAAAGGTTTTAAGATCGATAGCGGGAAATTTGAAAAAATAAATATGTACAGAGAGGGGGAGGTTAAGGAGTTGGGCAATCATTTTTTAAACCTGAAGTGGTATTTAAATGTGAACAGCTTACACAAGTGAAAATAACAGCAACATTATACTTACATTTATAAGGACTAACTATATATGCAGAAACTGGGTATGAAACTACTGTAGATGTCTGCAAGTTCTTATGTGAATTAAATCTTAACTACATTTTTTCTGGAAGCATATGTCAAATTTTGCATGAAATTTATGATGTGGCTAACAATTGCGTGTGTTAGCCATTTTGCATTTATGCAGTGAACCAATTTAACATCATTTATATTAAGGTAAGGGCATATACATAGGTGTCTACACCCAAGGACTAAATTTGGGCTAATATGCTTTAATACACAGCACGAGACAAAACTGACTGATCCATCAGGTTTGGCTTGCCTATTCAGGAATATAATAAGTGACCCCTGAACCGCAACAAGAAAGAATCTGAGGTTACACAAATACTAAAATCCGAAAAGGATTAGACTGGTCACTAGATTCTGGCTGAGTCTTACCTCCAAGGTCAGATCTCTAGATTGCTGATTTCGAAGTTTTTCCATCTCTCTGCGGAATTTGGATTCTTTCACTTCAAAGCCACCCAACTCCGTCAATATCTGTTGGAATGAGCAGAATGATGAACCTTCTACTTCACAAGCAAAAATGTAAAGCACTTTAATAAACTGTAAAAACTTACTGATCCTGGCTCTGCTCCAACATCCTCCATGAACACTCTGCCAAAAAGCTCAAGTGACAGCCTCCATCGACCCAAAAGCATATCATGAGAGATCACCATGCCCATAAAACTGCACTGTGGCCTAGTGTTACAAGTATAAATAACACACATTAGTAAAGAAGGAAAACATCTCAACCCAGTGTTGATTTCAGACTATCCTTATATATAGGTATTCAACAAAAGCCAAACACTGGGAAGAAAGGACACAAGAGAAAGACGAACCCCAAACCCAGCCTCATGCAGAAGGTCTTTATAAAACGTACATACTAGCAAAGAAATTAGAGTATTTACTACAAACTTAACACTGAATATAAGGAGGACACTCTGAAAACCGTTACTGAATACAATTATTACTCCAATATGAAGAGGACAAGACATCCCATATACAACTAAGAGTGCAGAGCAGCATACCTAAATGAGGTCAAAGGAGGGCCCTCACTTTCTGTCAGCCCAATCTCTGCCAGCAAGCTGCTCTTTAACTGAGCAGCCAGATCATGTGCTGATGGTCCTGGCTTTGAGCTGTCCATTTCCTCCTGGGGTGCAGTGGTCTCCTCTGTTTCTTTCTGCCGGTTCTGCATGTTCATTACATTCTTCAGGTTAGAAGCATAGGACATTTTGGTAGGTAAAACCTAATAAAAAAATATATACATTTCAATAACATATTTAAATACACCATTAAAAAAAAAACACTAAAAAAAAGGAACAGAAAACATCAAACCACAAAAGCATGCATTTTGCCTAAAGCTCAACTCCAAACTGGGTAAAGTATATATAGCTATATTGAAGCGGTCTTCAATTTAGTCAAGTGACAATGCCCAATTCTCTTCCTTCCCACAGCGGTGGTGGGCTGGCCACCTGATGCAGGGAACTGCAAAGAGGACTTTTCCTTGATACCCTGGGTTCACAAAAGTGGGCTAAAAGACACTGGGCAGCATTTAACCGGGAAAGAAGCACCTGTGACCACAGGATAACAAGGGATGCAGCGCTGGAGCACTGAGACGGTGGGTAATGCTTTTATACTTTTATTTTGTAACAGGCCGCAGAGTGATTTAGGAATAATCCTTGGAGTTGGGTTTTATTTCTTGTAAAACGGAACACAAGACTAGAAGGGCTTTTGCACTCTTACCTCCAAACAGTTTCTGTCTGTCACTTCTAGCAGGCATTTTCCGCTATTAGCTGAAGATGAATAGAGGCCCTGACTTGGACGGCCAAACAAGTCTTCTTTCCGGGCATTAGGCTAAAAAGGTGATTAAAAAGAAGAGTATGCAAAATTATAATGCATAATCAGTTATCACTTTTATTATAGCGACACTAAACCCAAAAATTCAAAGATAAATATAAGATCTACAATATAGCAATTTAAGCATACTCCAGTTTTCATTATTTGCCTTTAAAAGTTTGAGAGCCGGTTCACACCAGCTCCAGTGCGTTCCAGCACGATTTGCTGCTGGAACGCACTGGAGCGCATCCCGCCGGGCTTTCTGCGTTCAGGGGCGGCAGGAGGGCGTGTCGGTGCATTGAAGACACAGTAGAGTAGTCACCTGCAATGGAACCCGTGGCATGCGGTCCTGTGCAGTGAGATATGAAAAGAATGTTGCAAGCACTATTTTTTTCAGATCGCACTGGACTAACACAGTCGTTATGCCACGTGTTGGGGTGCGGGCTATCGCACTGCGGATGGGGGGCATGGCTGTGGTGCCATTGACTTCAATGCACTGCTACGCCCCCTCCCGCTACCGAACGCAGGAAGCCCGCCGGGACGTGATCCAGTGTGTTCCAGCAGCAAATTGTGCTGGTTCGCACCACAGCTGGGGTGAACCAACCCTCAAAAAACAATCTCTTTATCCATTTGGATAACTTCATGCCAGAGAGTGGCTACTTTTCTTCCCCATAGTCCCTATGGGAGCTGAAAAGTAGCCACCCTCTGTGCTCGCTCCCGTGATGGACTGCAATCAGACGTCAGGAGGCATAGAGCTTGCACGTCTCCTCTATAGAATCTTCACCGCTGCATAATCTCCACCTACAAATCCTCCCCTATAGACTCTAAGGCTCACTGATCACTGCACCGAGGTAAAGCTCCAAAACAGATCTATATCCTTTGATTTCTCTTCTCCTCCTCGGTGCAGGGGTAAGCTGAATGTGTCATGCTTGTTATCTCAGGTAGTTTCTTTTTTTTTTTTTTCCTCCAAGTTTCTGGAAAAAAGACTTGAGATTTTTTCAATATAGAGTTTTGTTAAATAGGAAGACTTTGCATGCGGCTTAGCTGTTTGTAATGGTTAACAGTGATGGAGAGTTAACAGTTAACAGAATGTTGAACAGGGTTTAGTGAGGAATGGCACATGTCAGGCATGTGTGCACCCGGAGTTATTTCAAGAATGCACAAAACAGGAAATGTGACTAAATAGAGGGACGGGAGCAAGCAGGGAAGAATTGACTTTGAATAAAGCAATGTGGATTTGTTGAATGCTTAATATGTAGATGTGCGGTAGTAGAAAAAACGTTTGGGTTTAGTGTCACTTTAACAATGGATAGTAGCATTACAGCATACAAAATGGTGATAATGGCAAGCCTGACTCATTCTCCATTTCCTGGTTTGTTATTTGATGAGGAGGGCAGGTGGATACATGTGAAGGATTTGAACGGGAAAGCACAAGAGCTGCATGCAATAACAATACCTGTAAGAGATGTGGCTGGTCAGCAAGTGGGATGGCATCTGCAAGAGGAACCTCAAAAGGATTTGGTGGAATGCAACCCAAGAAGGTCATAGAGTCTGAACGACGGAAGAAGGGGTGATTCTGGCCAGTCTCAGCAGGGAGCGTATCGTCATCCTTGTCATTTAATGTGGAACCTAACAAAATGACAGGTTTTATTGATGGTTCTGCAACACAATGTTTTCTAATGATACATAGTAACAAAAAGTAAGTCATCCACTTAAGGATCAGGACTTCTATTGTGTCTGATTTCAGAGGTCAGGAACTAAAGCTAGCAATTATAAACAAACATGCCTAAAGCCTATCTACAGCCAAACATATTTGGGTATTTATACAGCAGAGAAGTGTTACAGCTGTCCCCTAATGAAAGAAGCGATTGGTACTCATAATGGGGACAAAGACAAATATTTTTAGCACAGTGAGGAAGAGACAAGCGCTGGAAAATGTCTCTGCCAAGCTGT